ATTAATGTCGAGTTCGTTTTCTGTTCAGGACGTTCATCATGGGAACGGAACGCAACAAATGTTCTACGACGATCCACGAGTGCTCTACCTGTCGATACACAGGCACGACGAAGGTAACTTCTTTCCAGGGACTGGTGGACCGACCGAGTGCGGAGCTGGCGAAGGATTGGGTTACAACGTGAACGTAGCGTGGTCCGGTGGGCTGAATCCTCCTATGGGGGACGCGGAATACTTGGCCGCGTTTCGTAGCATCGTGATGCCAATCGCGAAAGCGTTCGACCCGAGCATCGTGCTCGTCTCGGCAGGATTCGACGCAGCCATCGGGCATCCAGCTCCTCTGGGAGGTTACAAAGTGAGTCCTGCGTGTTTCGGAAAGATGACCCAACAACTGCTTGGATTGGCGAACGGTAAGGTTGTTCTTGCCCTGGAGGGCGGTTACGATTTGGCCGCGATCTGCGATTCAGCCCAGGAATGCGTTCGAGCCCTCCTCGGGGACGAACCGACCCAACTTCGAGAGGAGGAATTGACCAGGGCGCCTTGTCAAAACGCGGTCGACACGCTGCAAAAGACTATCGCCGTGCAGGTATTTTCTATCTTTTTGTTTTTTTTTCTGTTTCAAAACGCAATTGAATCTGTTTTTTTTTTTTTTCTTTTTCTTTTTCGATTATTCGTTCGCACGCAGATGTCTCATTGGCCTTGCGTCAAGTTGAACGCGCACACGGCTTCGATGAGCGCGATCGAAGCCGGACAAAAGGAACGCGACGAGACAGAGACAGTCTCCGCGATGGCCTCTTTATCGATGCAGCAGCCTACCAATTTAACGTACGTCGATATCATGATATTAAGTTCGATTCGATTTTTTTATCCATCTACTGTCTATTCGAGATTTCGAAAGATTCACTCGCAGCGATTTGCGATTTTTCAGAACTACCCCAGAACATTCCCGAGAAGTTTCCGAGGAGCCGATGGAACAGGACGACGCCAAATGAAGAAAGACGCGAAACTGGTCGTCGATCGTGTATCGATGTAATCACGAGGCTATCGTTACGTTCGTACCGCTTCTTTGTAGAACGCGAGTGACGACGATCCGAAACCGCTCAGCAATCATCAGACACAGCGTCGTTGGAACGAACGAGCCTTTATGCACCTTTTCCGCGCTTCGCTTTCGCACCTTGTTCATCCTATGTATAGATCCGATCGAGCGCAAATCATGGTGGAAATCGCGAAATTAATCTCGACTAAAAATCTAAAAAGACAGTAGATTTAAGTGTTTTCTACGCTTTTGCTAATTTCTCTAGGAACGCGTTGATTCGTACGCGTTCGTCCGGCCTCGCCTTTTCCATCCACGACTCGACGCCTATTCTCTTCTTTTTTAATAATTATCGTGTTACGAACCAGCCTTTCTGGAAAATTTTCGAATAAAAATTCGATAAAAAATTCGGAACGGAATGGTGAAGAATCGCAACGATAAAGCAAAACGAAATGGTGTGATCGATGACCGAGGGTGGGAGGGAGTCGGCGGAAGTAGGGATAAGGTGCGCGATGGAAAAAGTTGTAAAATGAAGCGTTTTCGATGTTCTCCATCCCACGACGACGTTTCATTCTTCGTCATTTCTCTTCGAGCGGCATAGCGCGATGTTCGATTGTCTTTTTTGTCGCGAACAAAGGCTGGTGTGATTTTTGTGATATTTTGTAAAAAGCAGAAATTTTACAAACTGTAGTTAGTTAATGATGTGCAAATGTATGTACGAGTATGTAACTTAGTTCGATCTAAAGCGTGACAACGTGCGCTCGCGCCTCGTGTGCCTGTGTAGATATATTATGTATGTACGACGTGTGCGTGTGTGTGTGTGCGTGCGCGCGAAAAAATTAAGAAAGAGAATATATGCAATCGAGAAATAGGAGCATTTATTTTTATGCCGTGCATTTTACGAGGATACGAAAAAAATGCGAGCAAATCTATCGATCGACAATTTCCGCGAATATATGTATGATATGTAACATGGCGTTACATAACGTACATCGTAATATGGCAAAGATTGTAACACGCGGATCAAAGATTCAAGCACTTTTGTCTAGCATGCGCGAGAGGAACGCGAAAGAATGTGTGCGCGCGTCGAGTACAAGAAATTCATGTATATTGAATGTTATGTGTCAGCAAGAATCTCAAGTGTTCGTTGTGTACGTCCCATATTTTTACTAAAAAAAAATTTCAAAGATATTGTGCGCAGAACGTTCATTTCGGTCGATTCGTGTCGTAAATATGCTTTCATTCAATATGTTATGTCCCTTTCTCCGTTTATTCTAATTATATAGAGATAGATAACCTAATTCGTATCTTTTCCGTTCCCTTGTTCGTTTCATGAATCGCATTTTCTTATTTTAATCGCCTCTTTCTACTTCGTACTTGATGCGTGATCCATGTTTTCATCAGCCGCCAATCTCATCGTTTACTAACGCGCTTTACTGTCAATTCGACTCGACTCGACTCGACCGAATTCGATTCGTTACTGATTTCGAGATCGCGCGTGACGATCGTTCGGAAGTTGTTGATGTTTTATGAGAATTTTATTTGTTTCGAGCAGAAACTTGCAACATTCCGGTATCGTTCATAAAAAATCGATACAAGTTA